AAATGGGTAATGATGTTACCTATGTTTGTGGGTGCATTGCCTGCAGTTCAAATGCCAAATATGTATTTTCTGGGGTTACATTTCCTAAACCCACATGACATTTTACCTGAAAACGCATGCATTCTATAAATAGGACTAAAGTGCAATTGTGTGCTTAATAGGCTTCTGGTCCCATACATTTGTTTTGTTATAGTTTATGAGCCATACAGTACAAAAGTGAAAAGAACTTCAATAGATAGGATGTGGATGATAAATTCTGGCAATTTGATTTAAATTGTTGAGAGTACATTTTTGTAAAACTGTGAACGCCTGCACTTGTAGCATAAGCATCCCCTGGTGTGCTGGTGGCCAGTGCAGCGTGTTGTTCCCATGTCTGCAGCATTGCTTCAGAGATGAGAGCGGATGTTGTTTGACAGAAGTGTGCTAACACCGTTGGGGAAAATGCCTGACTGCATACAGGGGAATCCTTTCTCATGTACTGCCGTCCACCTGTACGAGCCGATGGCAGGAAAGGAGATGCATACACCCCACACACCGACACTGGGGACACATGCAGCCATTTATTTAACAACATAATGAAATGAGCTAATCCCTAAAGTTTGATATCATAATCTGAGGCTGACCCAAAGTGACTGTGTGTAACAATGTGCCCTTGTGTCTGACAAAAAGAAAACAGGCTTTGAAAATATGAAATGTAAGTCATGAAGAACATTTAACAAACAGGCTTTAAAAGAACAATGAGGCTGTGACTACAAACGGTAATCAAGTAAGCAGTATCAGAGCGAAGATCAGAGAATAAGACAGGGTGATTTGGAAGAAAAAGTCGCGTATGTCAAGTAATTAGTGTGTAAATTTCGTCTGAACCCGAGTTCAGATCTTGCAATATCTACAAATGCGTTTTCTTAAAACCCTTATTTTTTTTTTTTATCAGTGCAGAGGTTTCTGAAGGCAATATGATTGGATACATAGATAAGTTTGATTCCATAGAGTAGTTTTGGAACATCTTCATGGAAACAAGCAGGTCCTTTAATGTGGAAAAACAGCCACAATTTCAAAATTGGACCAGGTTTTGCATCATTGTGAAAACTAAAAGGAGAAAGCAAATTAGCAAACAAAAATAGCGTCGAGTTTTGATTTTTTTGATGCTCATTTCATCTGGGTGCTAGGTGTAACAGGAAACAGACTATTGTACATATTTCCTTTGGTATAGAGACCCACACTGCTAATGCACAGGATATAATGTGTGTGAGTGACAGCCATTATGAAAAATAACTCCCTATAGACATCACAGATTCTGATACCAATACATACACAGAGAGGGTAGAACACCTGTGCGCATCAGGGACGTGCAGTCAGGGGAGGCAGGGGAGGCAGGGGAGGCAGAGCCTCACCTGCCATTATTGGAAACTAATAATTATTTTAGTTTAAATATATAATTTATATCCACTGTCCTATGCTTTTAATGTATATTCGGCACGGTTCCCATCAGTTTTGATCATTTCTGAAGTCAAAATCGCCGAAATCCCGTTATTCCTATTCAAAGAGACGAGGTGAGGCAGCGCTCCTGCGTGCCTCACCCCAGACCGCTCCCTCACAGTGTGTGTGTGTGTGTCTGAGTGCACTCAGCTCGTGCAGCTGATATATCACCGTTTGTTTCAAATATCCTGCTTTAAAAACATTTTTTAAACTCCTCTTAGTGTTTAGTAGTGTATTGCACGTATGTGTGTACAATTTATATTTAGTTTAAGTCTTTTGATCGTAGATGAACACACAAGGAAAAAGCTTGGCGTGAGGCAGGCGGTATCTGTGCCTCACCGCTAGGGGTGATAGTGAGCATAAAGTTCATACCAGAGTTGCTAACAAACAATCAGCCCAAAATGCTATTTCTTTTGCTGGAAAATGGATGATTTGAATGAAGATTTTTTTTCTCAATTGGACTTTCAAACAAAGAAAGAATTAATATAGACTGGGAGACCACCACTGGACTTACGAGGTTAGTCCGGCTGCGGGGGAGGAGTTTGTTAATCTGTGTTTTATGTTGAACATTGACAGATACCGGCAAAGTAGTGCTTTTCCGAAAAACACTGATTCAAACACTGCTCAAGAGTTCTGCAACTTGTTTAAATTATTGTTTATGTTCCTCGCGTCTCTCTCTCCTCGCGTCTCTCTCTCTCTCGCGTCTCCGTCTCTCTCTGCTCCTCTCTGTCTCTCTCTGCTCCTCTCTCCTCGCGTCTCTCTCTCCTCGCGTCTCTCGCACCTGCGCTTCTTAAAGATGTTGTTTGATGCGGAGCAGAGTCAGCAGCTAGATTTGTTGTGAGATTATTAAAAGAAGCTGGTTCTCTTATCTTTACAGTATATAAAGTTTGTGGATGTCATTGCATTGGTGATTAAATGCTATTTTATTTGAATAATGATTGTAAATCTGACTTTTAAAGTCAGTGCCTCCCCAATCACAAACCTCACCGCACGTCCCTGGTGCGCATGGGAAACCCTCATTCCCTGCTCCTACCTTCATTTTGCTCTGACACTTCATGCATGCAGCCCCATCTGTGCACACCTGTGACTAAAGCCCAGCCAAACAGCCCCACGCTCCACAACCATCACTTAATTTCAACCGCCACTGTAAACATTACACCAGGACAATCAGTGCATTTAAGCCAGTCGCACGGGCCAACACCAAAAAGCTGTATCAACAAGAGGGCTGATAGGTCATCGCCTCATAATCCAAGATCAACAATAATACTACTCCCGGTGCCCATGCTAATCCCTGGATCAGAGCCACCAGTCATTTCCTGATCGAGCGGCAGAGAGGTTTCCATATTATCAGATTTCAGAGCAGAAGAGACCTGCGTGTCGGCTTTGAACAATGGATAAGGTCAAGGAAAACAATGTTGATCAGAGCCAGGCCAGCCACGCACATGTCTGGCTCACGCACAAGTCCATAAAGCCGGAGTGAAGAGCAGATTATGTGCGTCCAATCAGGGGGAAAGTAAAGAGTTTAGAGAGAGTAATGTACCCACAGCGAGTCCAGTTCACTTCTTAGTTGAATTGTTTTCAGAAGCAACTTTTTCCGTTTATTTAACATAGTCTATACATGAGCAGGACCCCTCATGTAACATTATGTGGGATTCTTCGGTTTCAAGCAGGACTAAAGTTTTGCCGTGTTGAGATGTGGTTTTTGTACATGTTTTGAGACGCACGGTTGAGGTTTTTCCACTGACGGTTTGGTAGCACTTGTTACTCTGTGCTTGGGACACTGAGCATTCCTGACCTTTGAAGTTGTGCCGTGTGCATCTCTCTGCTCCGTGTCAAATATGTCCCTCGGCGCGCCCCGTATCACATGTGACGTGTGCATCAGCCGCTGAATTAACTCCTCACCCTCTGACATTAAACGCAGCAGCTCTATCACGAGCGCATCTCTCCAAACTCTCTTTGGTTGTTATGATCCTAATTAGAGCAAATAGGGACGCCGTATTTTGTACTTATTGTGTAAAAAGCATGTTTTTGCCTTCACGCAGAATGTAAGAAACATCTATTTTACATTTCAAAAGTTTGGTTGTGTCATTTAGGTTGGGGCACCTTACTTTTTTGGTGCAAAATGTGTACTTTTTTCACAAAGAACACTTTTGGCACAAAAGAAAGTCTTGAGAAGTAAAAGTTAATTGTTGTGAATAAAATCAGGCCTTGTTAGATGTTAACTTTCGTGTATTTGAAAGAGTCACGTTCTGACGCTTTGGGATGAGAGCTGAGTGAAAGTGGTCCTTTTCTGTAGGAAAACGCTGATTTAAACGTGTGACAGGGGCCAATAAAACATACGTGGGAAAACTAGTGATAGAACTAAACTGTATGAAACTAGTTATGTGACTTTATTTATCCCAGCTTTAGTGTCACATTGAATTTTCACAAAAACTATTGCAATTTCTTCCACCTGCCATTCGCTCCCTCACCTCCTTCCCTTTGTTTAAGAACACTGTGTTACAGCACTTTAAAACTGTCTGTAATTACTTCTGATGTGTCTTTGTTGTGTTAAGTTGTATTCTCCATCAGTATTGTAATGTATTTATTTTGTGTTGTACTTTACTGTAGTTTCGGGGGGAGTGGGTAACCTCTGAGAGCTGAGTGTGTGTGTGAGTGAATGTGTTGAGCTTTTGTCCTGTTTTTTTTATGTCTGTTTAATGTGATAAATTTGTTTTCTATGCAATTGACTGTTGTCAATTAGTTCCTGTGGACCCACCACCTGCAGAGGATCAATGAGGGACTTTAGTTTAGTTTAGTTTATTCACAATTCACACAGTCCCTAAAAGTACATGTGCTACATTGTGAAAATGGAACTCCCAGAAGCAGAAGCTTATACATTAGGGCTCACCCAGCTCTCATTGCCACCCCACCTCCGACCCAGAAATGGTCTAATAAAGGGGTTGAAAATGAATGAATGAATGAATTTAGAGGACATTTAGTTTACCAAAATGTAACCCACATTTTTAGCTGATTTGTCTGACAAAGCAACTCTATTGGGCATTCATTTTATGAAATGTGTGTAATGAAGTCATGAGGTTGTTCTTGTTTTTTGCTCCTTTGAAAGAGACAAGGATTTTTTTCTCTCTCACAAAACATTGATCAAATAAAACATCATTTCTCAAAACATCACAGAACTTTGCAACTTCCACCAATGATCTAAAAATAGAAGTCATACAAGTTTGAATACATGTCACATTACATAAGCTCAGTGTCGTCGCACGTTGTAGAGAATTATAAATAGCATTCTTCTTTTCCTTGTGTATATTTATATTTGTGATCCAAGATGACTATGAATTATTCTTTATGTGGACGAGCCTGCAGCTGGTCCCCCGTCGCCACGTTTTTCCCTTCCTATTTTGATGTAAAATGTATTTTTTTCCGGGAGTGCAGCAGGATCTTATGCAACACAGCAACACAGGATTTTAACAAACACAATGTGACAAATTACTTCCACTTGCAACATGCTGCTGTAGTGAATCAACTTAAGTCTGTTGTGTTCGTGTGACTATACCCATGAAGAGGCTCACAGGAGTGACCTTGTTGGTATTGGACTCTAGGAGATAGAAAAATGCATAAAAAAGACAGAAATCCTTTTGAAATGCCATTTTATCTGATAATCTTACTGTTGCCATGCAGTTATTCAGATTAAGATTAAGAGATCCTTCATTTGTCCCACAGAGGGGAAATTTCAGTGTTGCATCGCAAGCTACAGAACAGTAGGAATGAGGAGCACACAGCACAAGATAAATGACTAATTAATCCAAACTAAAATAAAATAAGATAACATCTCTAACTTAAAAAAGGCGTAAGCATAATAAGAACAAAAAGGTGTAGATTGTATAAAAATGTAGTGTGTATACATATGTACATAACAAATAAATAATTATGATATGAAACAAAATATTTCAAAAATTTCGAAAAAGAAAATAGTGTCAATCCTGAACAGATTTGCCCTAGATAATGAATAGATCTACCATTTGCGTTTTGATCATATGCACAACTTGCACAATTTGATTTATATCTTTAGAAATCAGCGAGATGGGAGTGCATGGATGGGTCTTCTGAATTAGAAAACAGATGCTCATCAAAGACCAAAATAGAACATTAGAAGACAGAAGGTGAGCATCTACGTGAAAACATATCAGTGGAGAACGCTCAATTAGAAGTATTTCATTTAGTGGGACGCCGACATGTTGTCTGGTCGCCAACTGGTTTCTGACATTGACCCGGTGCTTGCAGTGTACGGCCGGTTATCCCCGACATTCTGCCCATAGAATTTAAGATTTGTCCCGAATGTCAGCGTTGATTCATTGTGCTTACACGATTTGCAGGCCCTCATTTGCGTGATCCATCGTGTAAGCACCTACTGAAACTTTAGACCGTCGGACCAGTAAACAAAGAAATTAATCTAATCGGAGTACCTTAGAATAAAGTTCGAGTCCCTAACTTTGAAACCACAATAAAATAACTGCGTAATAAAATACTGCATGTATCTCTCAAAACTGTCACATCATGAGTACCAGCCCTCACTCAGCCAATCAGATCTCACTCTATAAAAGATAAACATGCTTTCTAATCAAATAAAACCCAAATTTTTTGGTCTGATTTGTTTACAAAATATTTCTTAAACAAGACTTGGGGTCTGTGGGGACAAAGAAGATGTATCTATCAATAAAAAAAGTTAGATTACTCCCTTTTAACATTATTTACAGAGTTACTTGAAAATATTATTTTCAGTAACTCCTCGATGAACGGGCTGACACTTTTTCATTGATAAAATATACATGTTTCTTCAACTGCTGAAAAGTGACTTGCTATTTCTGAAGGGTTTGGACTTTCAAAATCCAAATCACGTATATGTGTGTTTTTGGCTTCAGGGCGAGGCAATATTGAGCTGGGAAAGTGTTGAGTCAGGGGAGTAAAAGTGTCAGATTAATAAAGATACCGGCTATGAGAGGAAGAGACGGAAGCCACTGAAATTAGAGCAAAAATGTGTTTTTGTGCTGCGAGTTTAGATGTGCCTTTTATGCACTTGTTAGTCACCCGTGTTTCTCCTTCCCCTCGCCTAATGAGAGGCAAAAATGGCAGACAGCCTTTTTAATTTTTAATATCAAAGATCGGTTATGACAGTTGCGAAAGAACAAAATGAGAGAGAAGGGTCCCTCGGTAAAACTATAGCTGTGGACAGACAGGAAGAGACAAGCTAATGACTGTTTAAAATTCATTCTTTTCACCAAATTGTACCCAAACGTGGCAGCGTTAAAGACAGCAATACAGTAGACGGTGGTGTTCCTGCGAAGATGTAATAAGGCTGGGAGTCTATCAAAGTTTATGGAGCAGGAAGGGATAACCAGATTTGGAAAAGGTCAGTGTACAGGATGCATAACGTGGAGTGTTCATCATCGAGAAAGCTGTAACCGATTCAGAAACAAGACAGAAGCCGTTTTTTAGATTGCGAAAAATATGTTTCTTTACTGTTTTCTTATCACAGAACAGCTTGACAGGTGAGGTGTTCGGAATTGAGAAGATTAACCAACAGTTGACAGTTTACCCATTGGGATTGTTTTTGTAATAAAGTATAATTGGGCAGTGGAAATAGACTTAAACCTGGTGTACCTACAGTATATTCCAAACCATAAACTCCATCTAACTCCATCTACATGTATGCAATTTTGGAATATGTCACAATTCTAGATTTTTCCGACAGAAAGCAAAATACCAGCCAAACAACTCTCAACCCAAATCATCAAAAAAAGTGACTCATGGGGCTCTTTCTTACAAGTATTCAAACAATGACGTGTTTCCTAATGAGATAAAAACAGAATGTTGTGGTGTGATTTGTTTACAACATTTTACTTTTACAAAGCTCTTTCTGGTTCTACTTAGATAATTGTTAGTTAGAGCAGTGTTTTTCAACCAGTGGGCCGTTAGTGTTCCTTGAAATGATGTCTGTTCTGCCTTTAGAAATTATCCAATATCTCCTCATTGGTGACAATAATGAGAGATTAGAACCTTTTTTTGGGCATGTTTGATTTTCCATAGAATACATGTGACCTAGTAATGTAAATATAGGCTGTAGAGTTTCACGTTTGCATCAGTTCCAGCTGGTGGGCGACATGGAATTACGGATTATTCTTAGGTCTACTGATTTACAGCATATAGAATGTCATACCTGTGCGTGTATAAGAACTAAAGAGACCTCACTGAGACAGGAGGACAGCACAAGGGGAGAATGTATAATTAAGATTAAGATTAAGGGTTCCTTTGTTCGTCCCACAGTGGGGAAATTTTAGTGTTGCATCACAAATTACAGAACAGTAGGAATGAGCAATATCATGAAGATATTGCTCATTCCAAGATAAATTAATAATAACTTGATACTAAAATAAAATAAAATCTCTGTGAATGCGCTGTCATATGTAAATCTTATGTAATCCGACATGGTTCAGCTGCTATTCATAATAATCCAAAAGGTTATAGTGCAAAACCACTACTTGACGACCACAATCTATTCCGCGGGCTCACTCTAAGACATATGCTGTGGTTAATGTGTGTTTTTTTATTCGGTCATAATGAGGTCATATTGGTGAGGTCATCGTCCTCCTCCTCAGTTTGGCGCTGAGGGTCACATGACATGTGCCAGTCTGACTCAGCAGTCCCAGGGCTCCACTCTGACACCGCATTGGCTAAGATACTGAAGTTGTGCTATTTTGGTACAACTGCCATTTTCAGTTCAATTTATGAGTTATATTGTTTTTTATACAAGACTTCCATCTGCTACACATGATTATCTATGGCACATGTGGATCATTTCATACATTTAGTGCAATTGAAACCTCTATTTGAGCAGTGTATTTGCCTTTTTTGTAATGTCGGTGAAGTGGCGTGACTTCAAAACCACAAATCCACCGCTGATAAATTGCGGTACATGTTTTTTTTCTTTCCTTCAAGCTTAAATTACCGCGCAAGGCTGACGAATCATCCACAACTCACTGATTCAGAAAAAAGGAAATAGGCAAACGAAGTGAGTAAAACAGTGGGAGTGGCAATCGTGGCCGGGGTCAACAGAAGTCGGGGTAGAGAATTTCCAAGAATAAATTGAATTGAATTGAACTGAGGGGACAACAATGGCGTCTCACGGTCGATCCCCTTTAACCATTATGATTTTGCAGCACAGTAATGATAGATTCTGAGGTAAAAACTAGGACTGCAAATTTATCGAAACTGCAAAATAATCCCTCTAAGATGAATCTTTTTGCACAGTAGTTTAGATGCTCAGAAATATATGAAGTTATTGTATTAATTAATCAGGTCTAGATGGAATGGTGGGAGTCATAATTACGGTATGGCTGAAGTAATAACAGTGCAATAGGTTTTGTAGTGTTCATTGGGCAATTTGTCTTATACATTGTTGTCATAACTCAATAGCATCGACGTTTCAGAAGAAATATTCACCTTTCTATCTATTGAACTCACGATACACCTTCTCTGTATAGATTCCTTTTCGTGCGTAATGCTATTTTAATGATATATAAAAAACTGTGTGACGTTTGTAGATCGTTTGGATGGTGCTGCTCAGATCCTGGGATTCGGGCGGATCCCCCCGTCGCCCGCTCCTTCATATCCACTTTGTCGTATAAAGAATTTATGGGACATGTTTCCTCACTCTGCTGTGATGATACTGAAGAAAGATGTATGGCTTTATAAACGGCATTTGTGGTAATCAGATGAAGGAAGGAGGCTTTTAAGTTAAGAGACTAAATATTTGATGGAGATGGTCTTAATAAAACTTTCTAAAAGTCTTATTAACTCTCATAGGTAATGAAAGGGTTCAGATTTTTTGGATCAAGATGCAGTGTTAGACTTCATCTAGACCAAAAAATATGTTTGGTTTACATGTCTGCTGTTTAAGGCCCTCCCTTATGATGTTAGTCCAGAATTTAAAAAATGGATATTTTTTAAATATGTTTATTAACATTTATGGACATTGTTCATCTGCCCCCATTAACCCATGACTCTATGTGTTTTTTTATTGCTGCAGTTATTGTGTTTTAACTGTTTGATTATCTGATCTGCGTTGGCAAATTCAAAGTTGTTTTTTATAAAGTCCTCCGAGATAACTACACTGTTGTGATTTAGGTCTATACAAGAATACATTGAATTGAATTGAATGAGAAGTGCCCTGCTCCCACCCCTCCATCTTGTACATCTCACATTCATCGCATTGTTCCTTCCATCCCCCAGCTCCTACCATCCCTGTTTGTTATAATGGCATGTGTGTTTCTGTCCACGGCTGTTGTGTCCAAAGGCAAGACTATAGAAGGTCGAACAGCACGTCCCGATCAGATGACGGGCATTCTAAAGTGTCAGCTCATCCGCTCCCATAGGACACGTGCCGGCTGCTTTCTCCTTGTCATGGCTGCCCTGTGCGCATTGATTTGCAACATTTGCTTGTCTCTTTATCAGCGCAGGGTCAATGGAATGTTACTGGGAGATAATGAAATATGATGCAAGATGTGCGAGCCCTAAAGGTTTATTTGAGGGAGCTTTATAAGGATTTAGAAAAAGGAAAGGGAGACATGCTTGTAGTGGGGTAAAGGAGAGGATTAGGTCTATGTCTTTTTAACACATTTAACTTTGACTATTCCATGTGGACCCTTGTGTTTTGGTAAATGATGCCCCGTGTACGGACGTAAAATAATCAGAATATTGTGGAAAAAGTTCAAAACAATTTCAGAAAGTGAAACTGCTATTTCACATAGATTAGAGTGACATGTGGGTCAATGATGTAACGGCCAAATTTACTGTCCAACTGCATATTTTTTGTAAACAGTTGTTAGGCAATTAAAATAAGCGTGCACTGCAAACATAAAAATAATTAACTGTGACATTATTGGAATGATGATTGTATAAGTATGACAATTCCACAGAAATCTATACTCTATAATTAGTTTCTAGACACATCATATTACTAAGAACTTGTGGAAAATGTTTATGTTAAGGTGATTGATGGTCGCACCACATGATATTTTTGAGGGTAATGACGTGAAATATCAAAATAAAAACAAATAAAAATCTTAATTCATGATTTGAACATGTATTAATCTACACATGACATTGTGAAGCTTTGACCAATTGCAGTATGAGTTCATGTATTTTTTTTATTTTTTTTAAATTGGCCTCTTAAAAAACCCGTATCCGTCATTGAGCCATGTTTAGCTTTTATTTCTCTGTAATATTTCAATTTTCAAAATTACCGCCAACATTTTTATAATTTAGAGTGTACCTATACATTGGTAATGAGGTCTTTTTCTTATCTGAATGAAATCCTTACAATTACAGTCCAACTTTTGATGCCAGAATCTTCCTCTAGGTGGCACATGTACAGTAGCTCCTATGCACTGATTACTGATGGAATCTACCTGCTGGAGCTTAGCTTGAAATGCTCCAAACAGTGAACAACACTGTGAGCATTTATGTTGCCCCGTCCCAAATTCATAACTTTAAGGCCACACCAAAAACAGCTCCATTTCCTGTTATTCCAAGCTTACCTCTTTAGTGACATCTGCACATTTCCTTAAACTTACACTTGTGAGAGGTCTGTGTTGTTTTACTGATGGGGAAGTGGCTGTTGATGGTGTTGATGGTGTTGATGCTGTTGATGCTGTTGATGGTGTTGATGGTGTTGATGGTGTTGATGCTGTTGATGCTGTTGATGCTGTTGGAGGACTTGGCTGGTGCTGGGGCCGGGTGTTTGGATGGAGGACAGACGGAGGCCGAGTGGACCATGGCAGCTGGTGTCTGAATGAAGACTAACCAGGGACCACAGCAGCGGAGGAGGGAAAGGAACATGCACACAATTCAGGATCTTTCAAATCATGTGTGAGTTCAGGAAAACGGCTGAAAACAGGGACTATAATGCTCAAATTGTTTGTTTGGAATTGGTCTTCAACAAAAACTCAAATTCCGTAAAATACCTTACTTGAATATTTATCAATTCCACTTATCAACAAACACAAATAATATGTGTGTTTTCTAATATTTGAAGAAAACAGACAAAAAGGTCAACGAAAGAAAACTATTTAAGAAACTCTGGAAATTACTGAATACTAATGAAAAGTCCTTTTACTTCAATAGTTCAACTTATAACGTAAAGAGCATATATAATACATTCATAAAATGCCTTAGTTTTTTTTTCAATACTGATAATTATGGCTCACAGATTGTAAAATAAAAAACACAAAATAAAACATGGAAATGAAATTCGAGCTATAAGCCCTAACAAACAAAGACTTTTCATAACTAACTTTGCGTGCTATTAATCTATGAAATTTTTTGCTTCACATTTTAAGTTAAAGCTGCACTAACTGACTTTATTTTCGTATTAATTACGAAAATGCTATCCATGTCCATGTAGTGCATTGGGATATACGTCCTTTTGAAGAAAAAGTAGCGCAGATTTGTGCATTATATTTTCGATCGAGTTTTGATGAAACAAGGAAGAGAATGTGTTTTGGGTCGCAGATTGTGACCAATCACAGCGGACCACTAGCCCCCACTTTCGTGAGAAATCTCCAGGTCCGTTAGCACAGACAGCTGAGTTAGCACAGACAGCTGAGTTAGCACAACTAGCGGCGGAGCTAACCTGAAACTTTCTCGTCTTCGTCACCGGGTACTGCTTACACAGCGAAACAGCCATCCAAAAGAAAGTCTCGTTCCTCCGCGCTTCCCGGTTCTATCGTTCTATGGTCACGCCATCCACGTGCAAATCCATATCCATGTATTATCCATATTGGGAGACGATAGCTCCGTCTCAACACTGTGTGTGTGTGGGGGGCGATAGCTTCGTGGGTGCGGGGAGGGGAGCAGAAAGAGCGAGGCCAGCGAGTCCGCGGCTTCAAAATCCCAAAGTCAGTTAGTGCAGCTTTAAATAACAGAAATGAATGAACGTATAATCATGATTTTCACCGTATCCAGACACACATTGGTGGAAAGTGCCCTGGGTATTGAACTCATGATACTACTTTGGTGTCTAAAGGGTTAATTCAAGTGAAGGTAACGCATGTTGTTCTCTCGTCAAAGCAGGGAAATATTCTGTTAATTAATAATAATAAATCCCACACATTAACACTCACACCCTTGAATAATCCCTTGAAATATTAAATTATGGCAACTCACACTTACACGGACCAAGATTCATCTATGACAGGATTTCTGTGTTGTACTGTATGGGACAGCGGTGGGCTATTGCAGAGAAAGTCAACTCACGCACAGCCTTATACATAATTTAATCCCTTATCAGCAAATCCAAAATGTCACTCCATCATATTTCATCTGACCATCACCTGCCAGTCTACGAGTTGGACACCGCTAACTACCCCTTACTTATCATTTATTCATGGATTAATTTGCACTTGTGAGAAATTTTCCGTCATGTAGAGATGTGTTAAGCAAAACTCTGTAGGCACCATTCAAAGCCATTTTATATTAAACGGACAAGACTAAAATTAATAACAGAAATAGATAAAATACAAATAGTTTATGGAAACGTTTGTGGGAAGCAGGTTGGTGTATAGAAAGTGTCCTGGATTCACTTTGTTGCCTATAACGGGTAAAGTTTTAAGAAACTCCATATAAGAATTACCATATTGAAAGGCATTTTACACATAACTTTTATTATTAGTATTTAGCTAGCTGGTGGGTTTAGGACGCTTAAATGATTGGGGAAAAACATAAATATCCTCAATTTGTGTAGCTGAATATCAAACTTCTGATTTATCCCTGAATCGAATTGATTCCTTCCAATGCAGTGTTATTAGTGGAGATTCACTTTATTACATTTGCAACTCTCTCACTTGTTATTGTGTGACTTTGAGCACCCAATCAACTCAAATTAACGTTTATTTCCGCTTCTCTTTGTGGTTTTGCCGGTTTAGAGGCTGACTCCTTTTTGATGAAGGTTAATACCGCGAGCATGAAACAGAATGAGCCGTCTCCAGCCGACTGACAGGTTTCGAGGGAAGAGAAACTGGGCTACAGCCTCCTCTGGTCCATGATGATGCTGCTTATCTGTATGCAGCGCGACCGTGGCACCTGGGGGGCCGTGAACAGGTGTTACGGGTCTATCAGGGGGAGAGATGGAGGGAGCGTGCCGGAGTGACACACAAACAGGCCAAAAATAACATGATGTGACCACAGGGGGTCGGCTGAAGTAGATCAAACAAAGACATCGACAGTAAATAGGGAACGGCCTAGTTGTCGTAACGTGTGGAGGACGGAAGCTGTGTATTTGTCAAACCTTCATTATTACTATTTGTAGATAATATTTGAGTGTTTTTATTGACCTTTATTTACACCATGACATGTCCTGACTAGTTATCAAAAGCATCAAAAATCAGATGTTATGTCATACTTTATTGTCCATATAGGGAAATGTGGCATTCGACCCAACCTGCAGTGCCTCTTTAGCCTCTTTCAGGAGCAGGGGTCGCCATAGCGCAAGAAAGAGCACTACCGCTGTCAGACTGTACAATAAGTCATTGACTGCCAGCCGTTTTTTCAAGGAAATTCACTGAATCTCAAAACCCATAGAATATTATGTGCTATGACGATGTGAACTACTGTATGAAACTAGATTCTAAAAGACTGGATTGTCTACTTTCATGAGCAAAAATAAGTTTCTTGCTAGTTTTGTTCTCCTGTAATCCCCAGTCGCATAGAGGGAAGTTTGACAGAAATCACCGCTCTCAGACAAATACATCAATGGCAGTCAATGAGTTTTAATGACCTGCACCATAGGGCTCTAAACTCGCACTGCTGGAGTCACTTTTAATTTGATTTAGTTTTACACAATATGTCTTGAACAAAATAAACTACCTTACACTTTTTAACGTGTTTTCACATTCCCTGTCTTTTGCACAACCTGGGAGATCGTATTTATGCCAAATGTGATATGTACATTGTCTATAAAGTTGATCTTATCTATCTTGTGAAATCTAAAGCCACCAACCACCAGTTAAGACAGTGTGACAGCCTTCACTGGTGTGGACCTCACTGCAGAGCTTTTGGGTTGTGCCATCGTCAAACAGTATCAAACCTGGAAATGGCGCAGTTTTATGATTTTTGCCGTTCGTTGGGCACTTCCCCCTTGACATGACATTACTCTGAATTGTAGCAGAGATAATAAACGAGATATAAAAGAGCCAAAATAAAACATTGTAAGCCAGCATACAATCTAAAGCAGCATCCTGCAATTGTCCCTGCTTCACCTTGTTAAGTAGCCTCAGCATGTTGTCCCTTCGATCCTCGGGCGCTGACACAATGAGTTCCTCACAAACGCAGCACGGGGCAGGCCACGGACAAGCGGCAGCAATGCGAGCAACAAGAGCCATGGGATTCACATTGTTCAGGCCGAATTATCCGGTCACGGCGAAATGGGCAGAGCATCTACAGAAGACAGAGGAGGGTGATACTGTAGAGGGATTATCTCAAACTGAGGGGCGGAAAGGGGTCAACTTGCAAAATGTGCAAAGTTTTTCACTTGAAAATGACCCAAGGTGCATGGGGCAGGAGAGAAAGTGGGTTGGAAAGAAAGTTTAGTAATCTGCATACAGAGTGCAGCAATCAAGAGTGGAGTTAACTTTCTGCAAAAACCTTTAGGCAACACGTTTAGGAAAGCCACGCAGAGAGACTCATGGGAGGAACTCGCAAAACCCACACAGAAGTGGTTTGAACCCGCAACCTTTTTGCTGTGAGGCATGAATGTTAACCATCCAGACACACAGAATCTGTCCAGAATTTATTTTCTTTTGTGTCCGTGGCAAAAGCAACAGGAGACTACTTCTTGGCCATTGTTTATTTAAAACAGCAAGGTGTCTAGTAAAAATGTACTAGAATAATGGACTATTTGGACTATATGAAACAAGTCACATGGATGTAGGAACAAATTGGACACTGTGATTTTCTTCTTGTTGGTAATGATCCTAACATTCTCAACAGTCGCTGGAATTACAACAGGACCCTGACATTTTACATGTTTGCTTGACCCCAGTTACTTTTTCCTACTCTCGACAATCTGGCTGAAGTGAAAAGAGCCCGGGGATGTCTGCGACACAGAGCGATGGAGGAGGAAGAGGGGGAATTTCAGGCCAGCGTCTAATTGAATACCCATGTACAGCTGCAGCACCATCTCCAGAGGTTCTCCCAAATGTCACGCTGAATAAGAGGCTGATGAAGGACACCATCGATTGTCTGGTGGTCCCGCACGCTCCACGTCCTTTCAGTTCTGACTCCATTCATGTAAAACTCCCTCTGGACGAAGCAGCCGGTCCTGTGCTCCTCACACTGAGAGGGGTATCATGGGTAGTTTACAGCGGCTGGTAATCGTTGATGTTCAGGTGGAGTTGTCCTGTGGAGGAATTCACTGTGTCATGGAACCTCTCTTTTTTTTTAAATCTTGGTCCAGTAGTGTATGCGTTTTGGTTAAGGTTGAAATTGGGGACTGACAAATTACAAATGTATCTTCAGATTTGTTTTGCATGTATTGTGTAAGGACATGTACAAAAAAAGATCACCCACAAACACGTATATATTTTAAATAAATAGTTTGGGACTCTGCAGCACCAATGACGCTCTCCATGCTGTGAATACACTTAAATAACACCTGTCCCCAAATATAAACTTGCAGAGTGCAGGCCTCCATCAAGAAGCTCTTTTTTGACTTTTGTTTACTCTCCTGAGTTGTTTCACTTCAGCACCTTGGACAGTGCATAAACAGCCATTTTGTTCCAATACTTTTGAGGAATCCAAAACTGAGAGACGCTTACCAAACAAGACAGTGTAATGTAAATAACTTCAAATTAAAGCTGCAGTACTCCTGGTTTGTTACCTCGCCAACAAGGTGCAAGACAGATCTATCTGAAATTTGGTGTGTAGTGGGATGTGGGGGAAGACCCCAAAATGCCGGATGATCCGTGATGTTGGCGGAGTAGGCACTCTCTGAGTACATGTTCTACTTTCTTTTTTAATTCACATTGTGTTTGCGTGAAATACAGTTTAAATCGACGAGAATGTCCCATTATTTATTAACCTGGCTGTAACTTAAATGTGGGTGTAAGGATACCTTTCCTCCAATACCTTCTCAGAAAGGCTCTGGGGCCAGACATGCATTACAATAGACAATCAGGTTGTTATGTATAAAATAATACACTTTACAACCTGTATTGTGTTGAATTTGATATAACAGGTAATCTTTTCTACCATCTGGATCCTGGTTCCAACAGTTTAATCACTCTGTTGTCTAAATATTGTATAGATAATATACAATATTTACTTGCTGTAACACTACCCCCATACGTAAAAACACTCTTCTTGAGGGTAGGACTAAACCCGCCCTGTCACTGGTCTCTTGTCCCTGGCCTTTTGCATGTTTCTTCTACATGGCTGCCTGCTTGAGATGCACACCAGCCAGCCAGCCTTTTAGTGCCCCCCCATATAACAGCAGCAAAGGGCAGCCTGTCACATAGCTTTAATGTTGGAGAATTAGAAGCGTAGCTGATGGAGGACTGATGGAGCATGTATGTGCGCTGCAGCCTGGATAGGAGCCCGCTGAGGAAACATCCATATATTTGGGATTTAGCCAAGGCGCTTTATGGACATGCATATTTATTATCGTCTATTTATAGCCGTGAGATGCACTTCAACATGGAAAAGCAAACATTAAATGTGTAGTCAAGGAGTGCGTACATGTCAGGGCATAACATGGAGGAGTTGAAAATGGATTAAATGTACAGTGTGTCATGCATATGTTACACAGAGCGCTGAGCATGTCGCAAAAACTATTTTACACAGAGTGTAAGCATATGGGGGGTGCCCAACCTTTGGTTGTATAATGTACTGCCCTAGAATGTGCAATATATATAAATGAAATACACGTGTACTGGACTTTCTTGAACCAAAGTTAGATGGATTGTATGGCATGTTTTTTTTTGTGGTTTGAAGCTTTTATCTAAGCTCTAGAACATGGATTTCTATAGCGTGTAGATGTATTATGTATGAACAGAATGCTTTGTGCAAATCTAAAGATGCATTAACCATCCACATTGAATGTAATGCAATCCATGTTCTGCTAGTTCCCAGTCCTCTTTCTGTTTCTTCAGATCAGCAGTTGTCAGAATGTAAAGACATCATGATGTGGTTAGATTTTTTTCAATATGACTTAAACAAGAGGGGCGACAGTAGCTCAGTTGGTAGAGCATTGGCCTTAAGGCCAGAAGGTCGTGGGTTCAATTCCCACCTCTGCACCTTCTCCACCGACTCCCACTGATGACTGCTGTCGTTGTGTCCTTGGGCAAGACACTTAACCCCACTTTGCCCAAAAGCTCCCACTGAAAGATCAAGGCTATGCTCACACTCAAAGAGCAGCCGTCCTCCTGTGGACTCACCACCTGCAGAGGGTCAGTGAGGGGCTGGTGCTATGAGACTTGGGTGGCATCTCTGACTGCCACCCCCCTGACCCAGAAATGGATTAAAGGGTAGAAAATGGATGGATGGACTTAAACAAGACCCTTTCTTATGCAATACAAAAAATGTCTTCAGCTTTAAATGAGTGATCTGTCTGCCTGTCATTAAGCTTTTGTCTTCCTTGTTTTCATCAACTAAATAGTGTCACTATTTAGTTGATGAAAACAAGGAAGACAAAAGCTTAATGAAAATGCTCACTCACAACACAGAGGTCAATCACATATTGTCGAAATATAATGAGACAAATGAGACAATAAAAGACTGATTATAGAATCATGTCCACTGCATCTACAAGTGTCAATCACAGAGAGCTGTCAGTATTGTTTAAGCAGGTCCTAAAAGTTTTACCATCAAGACCATTGAAGCAATTCACAGTTTTTCAATAGTATTTTGAAAGGTGCGTTTCATGAGTCATGTCTCAAGTCACATAATACTAAACAAGGACATATTGACTCCATACAACCACAAACTTACATCAAGAAGTGTGAGCCGAGGGGAGAACACACTCAACACCGCTTGTAATGAAAAAACCTTATGAAATAAAAAGAAAATCCTGTTTGTTGCATACCTTCTCCCCAGTGTTCCTGCACTGGTCAGAGTGATTTATTTGTCCGGAGGCCTGCGGATCTTGTAATGGAGGATTGATTTGAAGTGACATTATGATAAGCTGCAGCCAGGGCTCGTAATATCAGTCGCTATCTGCCCACATCCCTCATTACTTTTAATCAAGTCCATTCTCCTGCTGTCACTGAGGCCTGTCACACGTTCTCACATCCGTTTAGCGTTAAACATTTAGAAAACAGGTGAATAGCGGCCAAATGTCAAAGGTCCTAGATTGATAAACCCTAGTGTAGTCCCGTTCGTTCAAGTAGTAAGCCCGTTTTAGACTTTCTCCCATTATTGACGAGTCCTGGTTTTCGAATCTGGCAGTCTTAGCTTATCTGCAGTCTTTCTGGTTAAGATTGGACTTATTCTCGCCCGTTCAATTTCTCTTCCAGTCTGGGCATAATCATGATTAAGTTATTCAATTATTTTCTTGGCTTTACTTGTTGTCACACATTCGTAGCTGCCCAAAATATTTAGCGTGAGACATTTTGCAAACAGGTGAATCGCTTCCAAATTCTGCGGCGCTTCTGTGCAAATTACCATCATTTGTGTCCGCCCAATCGGATCCAGCGCAGGCTAATGAGGCTGGGAGACAATGGATGACAGCAACATGGGAAGGAATTAGCGCTTTAGCATTTTCAACTTTTCCCTGTGAGGCATGCAGTGGGGTTCTTTTATCCGCCATTACGGGCCCAGACAATAGCGCGGTTAATCTGTTTAAGACAAGACAGGGCCGAGGGAGGAGCGGGTCCGGTAATCTCATCCCGGAGCAGAGGACATGCACTGTCTTTTACATGTTGAATCATCCCCCTTGGAGCTCATCCAGGCCCCCCGCTGACTTTAGGATTCGTTCAGACGCTAACTACACAGGCGATGTGTGGGGTGGTATTAAATATGTGTTGGAGTGGGAAGGGCAGGCTGTCAAAGCTCTGGCTCCGTGTGTAAGACGAGCGTGAATAGAACTATGGCTGTCAGATCGAGACCAGCTTTCACTCTTGAGATGTTCAGGGATTGCTTTCCGTGTAGTTGAACACAATTATTCCCCCCATGTACATGCGTGTGTTGTAATAGCAGCTCCTCATGTTCAAATAGATCATGCTCTGTTTTGCATTTCCTGTTAAAGATTTTTATTCTCAGAGAAACATGAAGTGCATTGTTGGCTTGTAGTGTTATGGGCTTCAAAAAGCTATGAAAAGATATGTTTTTCTGTTAGGCTAAGAGTTGTGGTCTTAAAGTGAAGGTCAGTTACTTTTACATTTGTGAAGACTGCGTACGCCCTTCGTTATTGGTCCCAATCTTACTGGGGTTAAAACTGTGATGATTGTGTGATAATTTAATTTCGATGATACTTACGGCCAAAAATACATGTACCTATTCTTTCCCCAATTAAATAAAATTGATGGTGCATACATGTCACGGATAAATATGGAAGGACCCAAAAGCAGAACTGCAAAAAAAATCTTAATTTAATAATTGTCACAAAAAGTAAAAACTGAAACCAGGAACAACGACAATGGGCCGACTTCAAAATACAAACAGGTAGACACAAATGTAGCACATCAGGGCGGGCAAACAATCAACAAGACAGACAGGAAGTTAAACTCAAAACAAGAGAACAAAAATATGTCAAAATAAAACCATGATCAGGAAGTCCACACCATGAAAATATCACTTTTAAGAGTAAACTCAGCAAAAGTCCATCAGACAACTGTAGTAGACTTTGGGATGTTTGAATGGCAGACACACTGTACCTATGAGCCCCAAGGCACCTGTGGCGTTAGGGCATTAAATGGATCACGGCCACTATATCACTTTAAGGTAGATGACGTGGAACTATCTATGTTTAATGCATTCTTGTTCTGCGTAATTATCATTCTGTAAACTTAAAATTACATCTTGTCAGTTTTTTTGCATACTGGGACATTACAGGCAAATCTTAATATTGCCATGGAGACCAAAAATATGAACTTTCCATTTAGATTCAAGCCGTTTTATTGGTATGAGTTGTTCACATTTTCTTGCTAATTTATGAAAACAGGGCAC